TGCGTTTTGAACTTAAACGCTGGGGATGAACACTGCATTTTGAACTTGAATGCTGGGGATGAACCCTACGTTTTGAACTTGAAACCCGGAAATGCCCTTTGTGTTTTGACTCTGGAACGCAGGCATGACCTCTGTGTTTTGAATCTGGAACGTGGGCATGAGCCCTGCTTTTTGACTCTGGAAAGCGGGCATGACCTCTGCATTTTGAATCTGGAACACGGGCATGAGCATTGCATTTTGACTCTAGAACACAGAGGCGAGCCTCAGGCGAGCTTGGCGAGCTTCAGTCTAAGTCACATGTTCAGGCGAAGTTCAGTCTTACAAACGGAATTCAGAACATAACTTGCTGCAAAGAACATGTCATAACTTTAAAACCCTAAGTCGGAATTAACCGAATTATATATGAAAATCGACTATCTCGATGAGACAGAGCCGACCAAACCGATCGGTTTGCTTCCTTCATTTTGCCAAATTCCTTACGGTTTGAGAGATATTTAGTTTTGATTTGAAAAGACCATCAATTTGTAGTCTCTTTTGCTAGAGCGTTATAAAGATCGTCATCTTATAACCTTCATCTTAGTTTCTTGAAAATATGAGAGTCGTCAGATTATAACTCCCGATGTTAATTGTGAAGGCTGTTAAATTAGAGCTTTCATCGGTTATTGTGAAGGTCGTCAGATTATAACCTTCATCAATCTACATAAAAGTTTTCCAATTATAGCCTTTTGAAAGCTGTCAGATTATAATTTCCATTATCGGTGTTTGATGGGAATGAGCTATCTGCAGTGATTTTTAGACAACGTATAATTGTTGTGCTTAGCTTGTGATTTTATTTTTACTATTGTTTGTACGTAGTTTTTAGCTCTATTTTGGCTTTGTTTTTAGTTAGTTTGAGCTCAGTTTGAACTCTTTTTTTTTGCATCAGTTTGAGCTATATTTTTGCTCAGTTTGAGATGTTTTTTTGCTCAGTTTGTGATTAGTTTTGTTCTATATGTTTATGCTCAGTTTGAGCTCTTTTTTTGCTTAGTTTGTGATCGGGTTTGTTCTCTCTATTTTTGCTCAGTTTGTGATCTATATTTCCTCAGTCTGAGCTCTTCTTTTTTGCTTAGTTTTGATCAAATTTGTGCTCAGTTTGGGCTCTACCTTTGTGCTCAGTTATATGTTATTTGTGTTATTAGCAATGATGATGGTCTGTTCATAAGATTGTAATCTAGTTTACAATGATCAGGATGAGATGACGCATTCTTTGATAGGAAGTGCAACCTACATTATAAGCGTAATTTTAAGGTAAGTGTTGATGTCATTTATCAAACAGGGGTTATCTAAAAGTTTGTGGAGTGATTAGGGCCTTCTAACTCCTCCTGGTAAACTGTTCTAGGGCTTGTTGTTCTTCCCTGTACATGAAGAAACTCGTAAGAGGACGAAGTTGGGTTTTTCAGTTGATCCTCTGATGATCAAATCATTTTTGAGTTTGAGTAGAGAAGTAATATAGCTAGTGCTTAATTATGTAAAAAAGGTCAGAGAGAGTTACCTCATGTAGTGTCGCTCCTTTTATTGTAGGTTTGAGAGGTAAGAAGATAACTTAGGCCGAGTCTAGCTAGGCAGCTGAGTTAGCAGACATGTGCTATATGTCGATTGCTGAATGAGGTGAGTCACCTGGTCATTTATTGTGGGAATTACAACAGATGCTTAGTGATGACTGGGTCTGATGAGTCATATAGACTATGGGGACTAGGGTAATAATGATATTAGCAGGGTAGTTAATGTGAGAGTAGTCGGCTGACGAGAGTTTCAAGGTAATTGTCATCTTTTAACTCCTAAAGTCAAGGGCCGAGAAGTATCGTCTTTTAACTCGGTTACGTGAGATGTCACCTGATAAGTAGGCTGAGTTGTATTACTAGTGGTCATTTGAGAGGTTGGCCGAGTAGTACCGCCTTTTGACTCGGTTACGCAAGATGTCAGCCAATCAAGTCAATCATGCCGAGTCGAATGTTATTGTAGTTGTGAATTATTTTGATTAGGCAGAGTGTAAGACACGTGTTGACTTCTCTGTGAAGATTAATATTTAGTATTTTTAGGGGTTATAACAGTTGGCCCCTTTCAATTGGAGGTGGCATAGGTCGGGTCTGAGTGAAATGAGACTGTGAATTGCTAAGTCATGAGGTGCATTGATGAGGGGTGACTAAAAGGTCCCTTCGATGTAATGTGTCTTACATCAGAGGACATCTCTTGGCTGCTGTCACATTGCCTTTTTTGCTTGATTGTTGGCTACTTAAGGTAGGCCTGCCTTGCCTCGATTTTGAAGAGGCCATTTCTAATTCTAGAATCTCAATCGTTAGCTTGAAACTGATTCGGTCGTTGGGATGTGAGGAGAGATTTGTTTGTTTTTAAAAATCTTTAATCTTAACCGAAAAAGAGAACTTTGGTCATTCTTCTTCTTCTTCCAGGGATCTTCTAAGAATATTTCGATGGCATCTTTCGCTCTTAACACTTATCAAGGACAGTTGGAGATGTTCCACTTGAAGGTGACGCTGCTACAATTGAGGTCGTTATATGAGAGGTTTGATATCCCTTGGTCTTGCAAGCTAACGATGTCGATGAAGTCACAGGCAGTTTTTGACCATGATGTGAGTCGGGCTCCATTGTACAGAAAACATCTTGTGTACGATTTGTGCATATCCCCACACCACTTCTTTCACTGTGTATTTGTACCTTTAGTGGTTTTACTAATGCAGGTGAAGCCGACTCAATCGTGACTGTAGTTGGGTTTGTGGTCATCTGTCACTGATTGGGCGTCAAGCGACCTTGAATGTTCTTGCCCATCTGATCAGCGTCAAGGTGCACCAGCGCAAGGCCCACATCCACTTTTAGGTGTGGGAAGATTGAAGATTATCTCCAACTCTCTTGAGTCAAACCAGGATTAGAAGGAAAATTTTGTTTGGGTCTCGGGGGATGATTCTAGTTTGGCTTGTTCGAATTGGCCTGAGATTGTTAGGAAGGCTTTGTGTAAAACCCTAAAAATTTGTGAAATAATTTTATATGAGATTTATTATGATTGATGACCATTCGGGGATGAACGGATCGGATTGGTGTGTGTGATAAAATGAGTACAACTGAAATCTAACTCAGTTAGCAAACTAGCAATAATAAGAATATGAAAATCAGTAATTAATTGCTAGAGAAAAGAGTTAGAAAAACTTCTCTATAAACACAATAGAGGATGAAGAAGATTAAGGATGAATTCCTCAATTGAAATTGTAAGCTCCCTCTTTGTAAACACAAACCCAAGAAACTTAAACAAACTTTAAAACTCTTTTAAACTTTATTTCAAACCCTCTTAGATAATCTCAGAAGTGAAATAGTATGAGGTATTTATAGGATAAAAAACCAAGGCACAAAACCCAAGAAAATCCAGCAAAAAAGAAAAAATAACAAAAGCTAGAAAAATAGCTGTTGGGCCTTATCGGTCGACTGACGGCTTGTATTAGTCAACTAATGAGCTGACCATTATAGGCAACTGACAGCTCATCGGTCGACTGATGAGCATGGTCAGTCGACTGATAACCTCATCAGTCGACTGGTCAGTCGACCAGAATTAAAACAAAAACTTTTTAAGATTGCAGGACATTTCTTCAGTCGACTGATAAATGTCATCAGTCGACTGATAACAAATTTTCGGCTTGTATTGATTTTTGAAAATGAATTTTAAAGTCCTTTTAAAAATAGCAAATAAGTTCCAAAAAATGTAAAACTTTGGCAAAAGTTTATAAACATGATTATGATCATGTTGGAAAAGGAATTTTTCAATTTGCTCTTATCATTTGTGAAATCTCAGAAAAATTCGAAAGCACTAAAAATACATATGTTTTAAACATGTTGATTTTGACATTTAGCTCAAATCAAGTTCTGAAAACTTGTGTAATGTTTTTATGGACTTAATAAAAGATGTTAACAACGTTTTGTAGTCCAAAGCATATTAAAATATATTTTGCATAAAAACACCTATATTTGAGAAAATTCACAAATGAATGTGTGTGTAAATTTGAGCTTGTAGAATTTGCACACATTATATAAACCTATACTAAGTGTACCAAGAATGAAGTTTCTGAAGCTTGAGCTTGATTGATTGACTTGATTTGCATAGGCTTTAATATTAATTTTGCTCAATTTCCTGTGTATACTAAACAATACAAAACAAGATACTACAACCAATATTAGTTGTAAATTATTTGTTAAATCATCATCAAAATAAGAAGGCCAACAACTTCTTACTTAAATATTTTGTCCACTAGTGAGTAGTAAGAATACCTAAGCTGTTGTCACCATTTATCCCAAAATTTTCTCATTCGAAACCTAACTAAAGAATACGAGTTGGAGGGTTTCTATAAAACTAGATTCTATATTTTCATGTTATGAAACAAACATAAAAAGGTAAAAAAATAGAATTCCACAATATTCTATGACAACATAAAATTATCACTAATTTCTTTATAGATTAGTAGGAATCCATATGCTTTTAATCCTTTTCATAATCTTACTCACTGTTGAACCCCACACACACTAATATTGGTTGTTGTTGGTAAAGTTGTGTATTTATGACACAACTTGGAAAGTTGTTGTCCACCTCATTAATTTCACTTTTATACTTTTCTTTGTTTGTTTTTGATTCCATTGGAATCATAAATTGCTTGTTTGGTTTGCAAATGTACATTTAATTGTTTGTCTAGAAAGTGTAAAAAGTGGTCCCTACTCAAATGATCATATTGGTTGGAATTATTTTTTATTATTTTTTCCTAACTTCAATGTCAGCTTTCTCCTAAAATCATATCTTTTTTTTATGAAATCACTTTATAAGCCACATCAGCATATAAAATCACTTTACACTATTTTCACAATTACAAACAAACAATTAAAAGTGATGAAAGCTAACATTGGGACCCACTTTTTTACGCTTTACATCTTTTACACGGTAAAAACATACAATCAAACAGCCCCTTTATCTCTCGTTCCCTCAGCAGGCCACACGTCACACGCTCCCTCTCTGGTAGCAGCCATGGCCCCCTCCTACTCGAAGTACGATGTCCGCCGCCGCCTCCCAAACCCTAGCGCCGCCGCCCTCCTCGTCATCGACATGCAGAACTACTTCTCCTCCATCGCATCCCCAATCCTGCCTTCCCTCAACTCCACCGTCTCCATCTCCCGCTCGGCCTCCATCCCCGTCATCTTCACCCGCCACCGCCACCTCTCCCCCTCCGACAACCCCACTCTCTCCGAGTGGTGGTCGGGCGATCTAATCTTCGACGGCACCCCCGAGTCCGAGCTCCTCCCTGATCTCAACCGAAGCCCTAGTGATCGAATCGTCGAGAAGAACACGTACAGTGCGTTTAGGGGGACGGGATTGGAGGAGACGCTGAGGGGGATGGGGGTGGAGGAGGTGATTGTGACGGGGGTTATGACGAATTTGTGTTGCGAGACGACGGCCAGGGACGCGTTTGTTAGGGGGTTCAGGGTCTTCTTCTCGACGGATGCGACGGCGACGGGGAGTGTGCAGCTTCATGAGGCGGCGATTATGAATTTGGCGTATGGGTTTGCGTATTTGGTTGATTGTGAGAGGTTGCAGAAGGGGATTGGATTGAAGGGCAGAGGTTGAGGTGAGAGCGATTTTGTTTCAGATTCTTCTGCTAGGATACAAGTTTTGATATTACACAGGTCGTGCATTTAGATTTAGATGACACGTGTCTGTTTTTTGTGCATTTAGGAGAACCACCAATTTCTCATTATCTATAAATGAGGGATAAGTGGATGCTTGTCATATTACAATATAGGGAGACAAATGGTTGTCCTGTTACAAGTTAGCCATATGTTCGCACGCATGCACGCACACACATGTGGAAACACAGAGCTTAATACTTCAAGAACATAAAAGTTAGTTTCTTCCACCATCCAAAAATGTGATATGCAAAAGGTAGGATGATCTTTTCCGTTCATATTGATCTCTATGTTATTGAAGTTTTGTACAATAATGATGGGTTTTATGGTCTTGTACATATTTATTGGTAAAAAATAAGACAAAATAGACTTTTGGTTTTGAGAATAATGTTATTGATATGTATGATCCAGTTTCTTTAACATGATCTACATGAATCATGATCAACATTCTGTAACACATCAAAACATGGAAAGAACTTATATTCTAATGAATTCTAAGTTCTAACTGTAGATTATAGATTCCTTTAATACATTTTTGGCAAAAGATTGTTCATTTGCGGACCTTGTTTCCTTATTATCTTCTTATTAAAACTTTTCTTTTCGTTTCTCTATTTTAAAATTTTTTTTGTCACATTGAACCAGATTCGACTAGATTTTATTGCAGTCCAAATCCAAAATTCAGACTCATGAATCATGCAGGTATAAATATAGATCTAAAGTATAAATCTAGGAAATATGTATGTGACCAGAGAGAACCCAAATAAATTTGTAATACCCAATGAATTTTAGTTTGAAAATGTTCATGCATTGCTCAATGGTATCAATCGTAATAGGTCAACTAATACCTCACCTACGAAATGTGCTGCTGAACTGGACGCACCTAATGATGGTGGGCATGGGCACGCAACAGCACATTATATTGGATTCTAGTATATTGCTTGGTCTAACACCTTTATTATTTAGTCTTACATGCTTAATGTGATTGTAATTATTAGAACAGAGGGAATATTTCCTACCAATGCTATGAACTACAGTTGAATAGATTGTTGCAAGGTTATAGAAAACGCTGGCCGGCCTAGGCATCAAACTTGACACTTAGATCCTAGGTGCCTAGGCAGAAGCCTGGACAAGACCTAGGTGTTTTCCTTTTTTTTAATTTTTTAATTACAATCAATGTTATCGAAAGTGTTAGACACCGCTAGATGCCAAATTGGCGCCTAGACGCTACGTCTAGGAGAATTTCTTTTTTGTTGTTTAAGTGATGGTGGAGGAGGTTATGCTAAGAGCTCGAGGAGTTAGAGGAGGTGTTCGTAGTTAATGGAGGAGACTGGAGGAGTTTGGAGAAGGTTAGAGGATGTGGAGGCAACAATAGAGGAAATCACGACCGGAACCTGGTAGTGCAGTCCACATAAGCGATCTTCACTTTCTTAGCTCTCTCAAGATCTAGGCGGGCGGAGCCTAGGCGGCCTAGGTACCACCTAGGCGTAGGCGGGAGTCTAGGCGGGCTAGGCAGGAGCTTTTTAAAATATTGAATTGTTGTTTCAGAAAACTCATAATTTTTGGATTGGTTTTTCCAGTTCCAAGACGAGTTAATGCATTTTGTTTTCTTTTCCGGTGGAGCATGGTACCCCAGATAGGCAGATAATTCTATTGAACTTTGAAATGATACAAGGAAGCACTACATAATTTATGTTTCAAGTTGGATGACAATAATTAGTTTCCAAGTTCAGGTACAACAGGGACATTTATCTCTGCCAATACTAAAGATCTTGATCAATTATACAATTTATCTTGATCAATACTAAAGATCTTGAACAACATCCTGTGTCTATATGTTCATGTACAATTTTCTTTTTAATTAAATTTACATCCAGAAATGATCTTGATATATATAAAGATGAAGATCTCATGAGAGGTCCACATGTTGCCCATTAGTAGTCG